CTTCCTTCCTTCCTTCCTTCCTTTGTTGTTAAGACAGGGTTTCACACTGTAGCCTAGACTGGCCTGAATTCTCATTATGTAGCCTGGGCTGGCCTAAGACTCAAAGCAATTCTTTCCCTCAGCCAGCTGAGTACTGGGATTATAGACATGGGCACTTGAATAAATTTTAGAATTTCATTTCTTTGTGAGATGCTGGCATCATCACATGAGTTTATGTATTTGGGTTGTATATTAGGTGTTTTTTTCCCACATTTTTGGACAGTACTGGTCGTTTAGATTTAGAATCTAGGCAGGTGCTCCATTTTTATCTTTGGAGTTTATAGTTTAGTAACTATAATCCGATTCCCACACATTTGGGCCAAATTCTCATCTTTCTTCTCACCCACACAGAGCTCCTTTTGAAGTCATTGGAGCTCCCATGCTGAACCTTTCCTGGGGGTGCAGAGCAAGGTGAGAGTTTGGGACTACTACAGTTAAAGAAGTATATTTTACATCTGTATTCAATAGGACACCAGAGGGCAGCATTTATCCTTCGTCTTCTTCATCTAACCTCTTCGAGAACTCTCTTGAATGCTGCATTTTTAGAAATAAATATGGTCGATGATTTTTTTTTTATTTTATGTGTATGAATGTTTGCCTGCATCTACTTTTGTGCCAGGGCCCATGGAGGCTAGAAGAGAATATTGGCTCTGGACCTGGAGTTAGAAGTGGTTGTTTTTGTTCTTTAAAAAAGGCGGGTGTGTTCCCTGGCAGGCTCCCAGAGCAGCCGCTAGTCCGACAAGGATGGCTGTGGGTCCCTGCAAGATCTCCAGGGTGGCAGGCTGGTCCCGCCATGTGGCGGGCGAGTCATGCAGGCGGGTACAGCGGATAAAAGGCTCACAGGACATAGTATTACTTAAAGAAGAGGGAGACATTTATTACTTAAAGAAGAGGGAAACAGAGAGACATGGAGAGAAACATAGGGAGAGACAGAGACATGTGTGCACATGCCAAGAGACGGACAGAAGAGAGGAGAGTTAAGTTGGCAACCAGGAGGTCAGAAGTGACTAGGGGTGGGCGTGGTTAGTCCTTAAAGGGACCGCAAAGGAATAACAGTTGTGACCACCATTTGTGGCCTGGGAAAACAGGGTCCTCTCGAAAAGCAGGCTCTGGGCCATTTCTCTAGTCCCTGTTGAGATGGCTTTTAAGATACTTGAGACATAAGTTAACACAGCCATGCTTGGAAACCAGCAGTATGCATTTGTAGTTTTTGTTCGGGTTTTACATATAGTGGGGAATTCCTGATTGTGTTTAAGTTGAAATCCATAAAGATAACAGTATGTTAACCAGCTTTTAAAGGAGCTCATTATTAATGTAAACTTGTTACCTGTGCTTCTGACAAATCCAAATAAAATAATACAGGCTGGCTAAGTATCAGAGGTCTTTGAATAATGTAACTCAGTCTCCACTTCGTTGTAGAGAGACTTTGTACTTTGCTTATCATGATGGGTAGTTGTTCAGATTCAATTCCTGTAAATATTTCTTTGAATTTGGGTAGTAGGGTCACTTTCTAGCTATCGATCACATACCATCTGTTTTTGAAATCCAGAATTTTCAAGCAGAGAAGAAGTAAAGCTTTGCTCTAAGTGAATTATTAGTACAGGGCCATTTGTCTAGGAAACTGACCTTTATGATTCCGTCAGTCATATTCAGGTTTCTCCCCTGCCCCCTCCTTATGTAGCCTCACACTCACTAGTTGAATGCCGAGATTTCAAGTGTGTCACCATGCCAGCTTCCCTTTTTGGTTTATTAAAAATAGGACTTCGCTGTATAACTCTGCTGGCTTTGAACTGTATAGATCTTTATGTTTCAGCTCAAATCTGAATAATTTCAAAAACCAAAAATAAAGCTAACTCCCCCCTCTGTCATAGTTAAAAGCTCAGCATGGGGTTTGGGTTGTCACAGACAGTGTCACAGAGCTAAGTTTTAGGATGTACATTAGTGAATATGTCTTATAGTTACATAACTTGAAGCTTGAAATTTGCTCTGATGCCTTTCTGTAAACTAGCATTTTGGTCACATTGAAAGACATTTGTGTTTTTTATACTTTGCTTTGTCAGGTTATTCTGGGGCACTATAATTGGCTTTCCTATGAAGATGTCTTCACTCGAGCCCTTGACTTTGGAAATGGATTGCAGATGTTGGGCCAGAAACCGAAGACCAACATCGCCATCTTCTGTGAGACCAGGGCTGAGTGGATGATTGCTGCACAGGCGTGTTTTATGTATAACTTCCAGCGTACGTATGGACCACACTTTTTAAAATAATGTTTCTTTTTTGTCCTTTTGTTTTTGAGATGAGTCTCTATGAAGCCCTTGCTGTCTGGAACTATAAGGTCCCCAGGCTGACCTCAGACTTAGAGATCCACCTCTTTCTACCTGCCGAGTGCTGGCGGTAGAGTTGTTTGCACCACACTTGACCGTAAAATAGTATTTAAGCAAGAGGTCGATATTCTGATATTAGTTTTTTTCTTTACCTATTTAGAGGGTGTATTTATTATGTTTCAGATATTTATTTACTTATTTGTCTGTTTTGGAAAAAGAATCAGTTTGGGAAGAAACCCTGCTTGTCAAATATTAAGGGGTCTTTCTGCATCTGGAAAACTAGACCTAGCTTTACAGGGTCGTTGCTCGGCTACCGTCTCTCAGGGACCTTTCTGAACCTGCTGCTATTTCGCTAATCTACTTCTGCTAGTAGCTACACTTAACTTCTAGAATACATTTCTATCATACCTTGGTTAATTCCTAAGCACTAGGTTATATGATAAAGAATCTTAATATTGCTGAAGTTATTCGAGTGGTGAGCGTGGCGGCTAACCCTGCAAAGCAGTCCTGGAAGGTCGGCTGGGAGGGAGGCCTTGGGGCCAAATGTCATGGTAAATGAACATGAAACAAAAATGATGCTTCCAGCGACTTCTTTTTTTTTAAGTTATTTTTATTTTATGTGATGGTGCATGCATTGCTCATGGAGGCCAGAAGGAAACTCTGGACTCCCTTGGAACTGGAGTTACAGGTGGTTGTTAGCTCCTGTGTAAGTGCTGGGAATTGAACTTGGGTTTTCTGCAAGAAGAGCAAGGACTCTTAACCTCTGAGCCATCTCACTAACAGTCCTCATTTCCTTCCTTCCTTCCTTCCTTCCTTCCTTCCTTCCTTCCTTCCTTC